GGGTACACTAGTCTGATTTTTATAACAATGGTAACTAAACGGTATTCATGAAAATAAAAAAAGGTGAAAACATTAAATTTATTTTTTGAATATATTTTTATTTTCGAATACATATTTATGCGATATCGAGAAACATATTATTCTTTCGATATTGCGATATAGTATCGGTGAAATTCGGTACGATATCGTTATCCAAAAATATATCGTTGACGAACCATAATAAATAGTCTATTTAACACAGTTTTACCAAGACAAAAATATGAAAAAATAGAATCAATCATTAAACGTCAAATAATAGTGACTATTATTGAAGATTTTCCACGACAACTGGAAATTATAGTGACAAATAAAATTCGATTTAGTACTAATTTTATTTTTCTAATTTTAACACCTATCAAATTTTTACCGCAACAAAAAAATTCTAACACAGTTTTAACAATGATTTTTCAAAGATGATACAACTATTTCCAATCAAATTCTAACAGAAATACAAGAGAAATTATTACATAGCACAAAGTTTATTCTATTACTTTTACTGCACGTTTAACTAACCGCTGATGCAATTTTATTTAAACTCTACAGCTTTGAGTACAACGAACTTCAATAAATTCACGTGATAATAAAATTCTTGTGTACCTTTTACAAAATTATTCAAGTAACCTTTGACTACTTATTGCACCTTGTACTTATGTCATGACAATAAATGCCGTTTACTAACGCCCACGGCGAATAAACAATTTTTTGAATATATTACTGTTTTTTAAACAAGTATTATATTTTCTACGACGGTTATAGATGAAATAATTTGATTAACGTTTGTATACATATTTTTTAATTAAAAGAATTAATATAAATGGATATTTAGAGGTACATGAGCATGATAACTTAATTCTTTATTTCTTCGTAATATTTTTAATAATAAAAAATATTAGCTTAAAAATATGAAAATTACTAAAGGGACATAGTAAATTGTTACAATAATAGTCAAACATGAAAGCTTAATATTTTACAGTTTATTTATTAAATATATATTTTAATGTTTTATTGTTACACCTCAAGGAATATTTAATGTACTAGACGGTAATTAAAAAAAAACTTGTTCTCAAAACGCAACTACTAATTATAGTTGTTGTTTTATATTATTTCACTAGTATTAAAAGTAGATGAATCTTTAAAATATAAAAATTGTTATACCAGAAAAATAGAAAGTGATTCATTTTATAAACAAATTACATTTTTATTAAAATTAATTTAAAAAATAAATAAAATGTCTAGACTTAACATAAGTATACTTTTGAATGCGATTTCATTTCAGTTTAAGCCATAAATTGGAAATAAAAGTATTTTAATATTAGTGAAATTGACTAAGGAAATATGAATAATAATAATTTAAAACTACTTTCATCTTCCTTCAAACGTATATGTATATTCAATGAGTTAAATTTAAAAAAATTATTTTTCGTCAATCGCAAGGGCTGTATTTTACTTTAACCTAACCAATTATTTAGGTATAAAAATGCGATTACACGATCTAGATCGTTCACCCAGTAAAATCATGACATCGTAAAACGCATGTTTAACAAATTTAGAATAACTTTGAGTTAACTTTCAACTCACGTCACATTGATGTCGGTTAAAGAAAAAACTTTATCTTATGAGTCATAAGCTTCACGATACAAACAAAAAACACAAAATATTACCTGCATTCTATGTTATAAACATGAAATACGGTTCCTCTGACCGACAAAGCGTTGTATATATTATACATAAAATATAATAACAGTTACTAAGAAAGAACACTTAAACATTACAAACAAGTAACCGTTTTTGCATCGGAATCAACAAAATGTTAGCGAACAAACGACATTTATTATGTAGATAAAATTAATATAACGAAAAAACATTCTGCACACAACTAAACCAACACATTAACCGGTGAAACAAAGCACGTTAAAACCTAAAAGTGTTAGGTCGACTGATGATCGCAGTGTACTACTTTCTTTCGGTGTATCAGTACCGACTCCAATAATCATAAAATCTTGGTGGTGGCTGTGTGCTGTCTGCTATCGGTAATAAAAATACAGAAAAAAACAGAAGAGCGTTCATAGGATTAATTGATGTCATCAAACGAAGACATAAATTAATCGCATGATTAAAATTAAAATGCATGACATAACTTCATTTACAATTGTAGGAATAATCTTAAAACAACCGCAGTTGTAAACGTTTCTGAAGAATGCCGAAAAATATAAACGATATGAGGATTAAATAGATATCAATAACCGTAAAAAAGTGTATCTTCCCATCAAGTAACTATTGTACGTATAACAACGGATCACATTGTTAATTACCATTAACAAAAAACCCGTAATGAAATTGTAACATGCCTCGTCTTAAATGTGAACCATTTCAACGGCGGGTGGATACGGTATACCGTAACACCGTAAAGTGGGGATAAACCCCGTTGTTTATTTTATTATCATCGTCATCAGAGACGATAAAAAACCGGTTTGTCCTGAAGAAATCCGCTACAAGCTTTGTACAGAACGAATGCCCGGACGCGGTCATCACTTGATGACCACAAGAAGTTATGCCTAAACTCAAGACACATGCCGAACAATTAAATATCCGTCATTGATTACTGGTAATGTTATCGACAAAATTTAGGTCACGTTCTTCAGCTTCGATAAAAACAATTTTAATAGCTTATCACACAATGTGTTCACAAGTTTGTAAATCATTATAAACTAAATTTATCGAATGAATCGAGTTACATAATCATGTATACAATGAAAGTTTGTTTTTTTTTTTTCTAACAAAATTGACAATTGGAGTTAAAAGTTCAATTTAACTTGTGTTAAAATTCAGATCGATCGAAATAATACAACACAAACCTTGACCGACGATAACAAATAAAAGGTTAATTTAAAAACAGAAAGCTTAGGTGTAATGTGTGGGTTAGACTTAAGGACACTTGATCTACAACACACCACGCATCTTCGCGTTTGGGATAGACCTTGAATCCCAGTTACTAACCTTGATAGTTACAGCAATGGCTGAAAATATAAACAAACACTTACGGAAACAAATACAAGATAAAAATAATCATAATCGAAAATATTTTAACAAAATGAAAAGTAATAACCTTTTAAAACAATTAAAAAATAACGACGACGATCATGTACAAATTTACTTCACTAATATCTATGTTATTAACATTATATAATTGATCGGCCCTGTTGTACTAAAAATAGGTTAGACATTTATCAACACAAGTATATACTGACGACAATTAATTTTAAAAAAAAATCAACACAAAACTATAAAAGGAATTGATCACGAACAGTAATTATTTAATTTAATTTTTTTTCAAAAAACAATTCTACTTTTCTGATATTTATAATTATATTTAACTAGCTAGATTTAATTAATAACAATTTATTTTTAAGAACTTCAATATTTGAATAATTTAACTACGAATAGATATAAATTAAAATCGAAAACCCCGTCTAATGGGAATAACTTCGATGAACTGGCAGCAAAATCTTCCAAGCACAATGTTTTTATTAACGATATAACTACGGGCTATACCCATGACTAAAAAAAATCTTTGAGGCAACGACCCACAAATTATTTTTCTGATCAACTACAAGCAAACAAACTCACACGTGAATAATTGGCGTTGTCAACAGCATCTGTCTAGCGATTATAAGGCGTCACAATAAGTGTACATACAACAAAGGACACGACATAACTTTATTGTTATCGTTATACTGTGCAGTAGTGTCGTTTGAAACGAAAAATGCGTTATCGTCTACGAATGCATTGTTAACACTCAAGGATACTTTTGAGGAGAGGAATACATCTGGACACGGCGTTGTATTTGACACAAGTTATTGTTATTCTTAATAATAACGATGCAGTTAATATCAACGGTAAAAAATGTATAATAGTAAATCTATCCACAAGCGATTAAGTACCCACTAAGTCAAGGCTGCAATTATGCTACAGTGTGAGAACTCGATACCCATTCCTATGGGTATCGTGACAAGAAAAGTGAAGTGAACGACGTGAAGTTAAAGTTATGAACTTGGTGCCGATCTAAAGGTTTGCTGGCCAGCGAATGTCTCATAATATTGTAAACTTACCCGTGATTTCTCTTCAACAATCGTGTCTTCGTAACCGGCAGAAGATCCAGACGAACCCCTTCTGTTAGGGTCCCAAGAGTTGCGGCGTACGGAATCAAGCGAATCTGTAGAAAACCTGCGCCATGCCGGCACAGACTCTCTGCGACTAGTGCCAGAATCACGACGCAAAACTACACCCGGAGCTGAGGGAATGGTTGGTGGGGAAAGCGAGTCCCTGCGACCTGTCGAATTTATCGAGTCGCGGCGCAATGAAGAGGCACCAGAGTCGCGCCGCAACGACGACGGAAAAGATGAAGGATGATTGGACTGAGTGTCTCGACCGGTAGAACCCAACACTATGGAATCGCGACGACGCATACTCGCCGTTGGAATGGATCCGGTAACGGGCATAGATTCGCGTCGAGGAGACGATGTAGCGATACTACTCCTGTGTGTGTGGACATGATCGGATTTGCGACGGCCATGTATATCGCAATCGGCTGTCACAGCAAATGTGACTTTTTCGATAGACCCTCTTTTAGTCTTGCCAGATGAGTCGGCAGCGGCATCCTTAAGTTTCACGTCATCGAACAACGCCTCGAGCCTTTTCAGAGCGGCTGCTGTGGCCGTCATTTCGTTATTACAAGTATCTAGACCGTATGAAAAAAGCTTTGCGACGACAAACGATATCCACGAGTAATCGCGACAGAAAAGTGGTCAGCGAGCACCGGTTACGTGTAAACTATTGAAGGTACGCGGTAACGACGTGAGTGGCTCACACGCAGCATTATGTCCGGGGCCCCACCAAACCATATTCGGTTACTAGTTAGAGGTCCAACACCATACAAATGTGCGTTGATGTCGCGGCGCGCCACACGTTGTATGACGCATACTTTTTGTCAAATGTTACAGAATAATGATAATCACCCTCAAGCATTACATTGATGTGTTACATTAATTACAACGTGTATTTTTTTAATCGTGGATAACTTCAACATAAACACCAGATAAATGCGGAAAGTGTAAAATAATAGGTACAGTTCAAATACTTATTATAATGTTAATATTTCTATGCGATTAACTTAATCGATATAAATCACTAATATGAAAATTAATCTAACTTCAAACGTATAAAATAATAACTAATACAAGTTATATGAAAACCAACTCAGATAGCTGTTTTTAATTTTGTATAAAATTGAATACTTATTCGTTTAGATGAGACCAAAGAAATTTTTTTCGTTTCAATTTTAAAAAAATTGCTTCGAATATTAGATTAATTTTAAATAGACGATTAATGATTATTTAATTTCTGATAAAACTAAAAGCCATTATCAAAATTGATCGCTTGTTAAAAATACGAGAATGTTATAATTGTTTGTTTAGTGTTGACACCTTAGGTTTACCAAATAGGTAGATTTTTATCAACATTATTTTTTTCACACGAAACTTATTTTGATTCAGCGTAATAAACAAGTGTTGCCTTAGCTTTTCAAAAGTATAGTGGGTGGACCTCACCCAATCTAAGAAACTAAATAAACATTAACCTTGAATAGATACGCTTAGTAATCACCTATTTGCAAAATTTCATTATTGAACAACATTAAAATACAACTAATTAGAACGATTTTTATTGAAAAATGCAGAAAAATATTTGAGTAAGTTCAAATAAACATTTTCTCTCTTTTTGTAATTTCAATACGAAATAAAACATTTCCTTGTAAATCATATGAGCGGAAATAAGTTGAATATGAAAATTGATTATTATAAATATTTTCAAAATGATTTATAAAGCACCAAATAAATATAATTTAAAAAAAAATGTTAAATCCAGAAGGATAAATTTATTTTTTACCAACCAACGCAACAGGCCTACAACTAACCTAGACAAATATAATTCTTTAATAATCTATGCAATAAGCTTTAAATATTAAAATAATGAACCTTGGGAAATACATGAAAATATTTTGCTAACATTTCCGTGCATGTATGCTTATAGGTAATTTAACAGAACTTTACAGGGACGTAGTTATGACAACTGAAGGTCACTAGTTATCTCTTATCAAGATATACGACTATCTATTTTGATTAGTAAAATGCTAATTTTGGATGAGCAAGAATTAGTTCACATAGCCCACTTAGCTACATTAAAATGATTAATATTTATTATACATAAACGTATTAAAATTTATAAACTATTAATCACGTCGAACAATTATTAGGATAACGCTAAATTAATATACCGTTTTCCACTTTTTAATAATAAATAAGAAATATCATTACATCTATTTTAGAAACATATGATAATTAATTTATTAATTTTAACTAATAAGTAGGTTGAACTCAAATTATTTATAAATTTACCTGATTTTCATAACATTTTCTGGCACTACAAATAGAGTAAAATAGTTAAAAATTTATACTATAAAATCATATTCATAAAACTTATTATAATTTATTGACGATATGAATATCTACATCTATATTATAAAAAAACTACTCCATTTCAGACTTTATGTAACATTGATTAATGTTTCTTTATTAACAGATGGGTCAATTTTAAAAAAAATATTTGAATGTCGTTCAAAAACTTTCTGACTGGGACAAAATTTACTAAAAGGTTTAAAATATTATTATAAAGGAGGGTTAATTTTAAATATCTGAACTATTTATTTTTATTATGAATATTTGATACATCTTTGATATATCATATCATAAACTCATGTACCAATTCGCTAAAGAGTAAATACTGAAAATATAAATTGTTATAAAATTTTTTAATTAACTTACTTGCTGAAATTTTTCGTTACCGTTTAGTACATTAACTTTGATTGGTACGGTTTGCTGGATTGTATTTGGCTTCATAAATGTATCAGTATCCCGTAAAAGGGTTTTATTAGGAAGTGCCCTAAAAATGTACGAATAATTAATATAAAAGCTGATTTAAAATTGGTAATAATAACATACTTATTTTCTTCTTGAAGTTTTGACTCAGTATTTCGCAACTGCTGAATTAACTCGAAACGCTCTTTTTCTTGATCTTGTAGAGCATCATGATATCTCTGTTTTTGTTTCTGATACTCTTTGTAAAGGTCACCTTGACTATTTTGTGCATCAAAACTTAAATTCGATTGATTAATAGACAACTGTTGATATCGATCATTCAAAGAGTCGAGTCTAGAAGAACGTGTTGTATTGGACGCTGTTGTAGAATTAGACGATCTACTTGGTTCAGGAGACGACAATTCTAATGAGTTTTTTTTATTTTCCTTAACGGGTGTTACAACTTCAGTAATAGATGGTAAATCGCTATTTATATTATTAGCAAACATTTCGCTCTCAAACAATTTATCTACCGAACTAGTCATTGCTGAATTACTTTTCAGTCCTGTAAGGTGAAAACTAGCAAATGAAGATTTAACAAGATTGGAAGATATATTAGATACTCCAACGGATGAGATAAGAGATGAGGAAGTAGTTTGATCCAAATTTGGCAACAGGGAGCGAGACATTATATCAGCGGCTGATCGGGGCCTGGTGAATGGCATAGCAGAATGAGGGAACTGCTTAGGTTTTATTGGTGTAACGAGCATGTGTTCTGTCCAAGACGTTTCAAGTGATGGTCTCTCTAATTGTTCGAGTTCAACATTTAATGTTTTTTGTTCGAAAGGCACAACAAAAGTTTCAGCTGGAATGCTTTGAAGCCACGACATCAGGCTAAGATCTGTATCTTTATAACTATTTGAACTATTGAATATATGTGAAAAATTTAAAATATTTAAACTAAAAGGTTGTTTATTTCCGACAGCTTTTGATTTACAAAAATTACAACACGACTCATATAAGATTCCTTTAATTATTAGTTGAATTAGCCTGTCATTGGTCGAATCCGGAATAACAGGTTTTTTATCACAAGGCAAAAATTTCATTACAAGAGGAAAAACTTGTTGAAAACATTGTACTCTAGCTGTACTAGGGTTCCAGTCTTTGTACCCCAAATTATCAGAGAGCCGAGGTAAAGTTAACATTAAACATAAATTAGAGTACTCTTCTTTAGTTGGGCAAACTTTCTCTAATTCATTCAGTACTTTAACCACTTCTTCAACTGCGGTATCTACACTTCCGATAACTGATGCCTCTGATTTCATACATATCAACTCGGCATATTTGTGACGTAAAATACAATACCTGAATTTATCAGTCGGAAAATGTGGTATTGCTTCTAGTGGTTGAATAAATTCGAGTACATCATCCCACTGCCCGTCCAAGATCAGTTGACGTAAAAATAATGCATCGTCTGAATAACTTCCATTTATTACACCCGTTTCACGTTCAACACTAAGCTGAGAAATGTGTAACTCGCGATTATACAGGAACTCTAAGGTTAATCTGATAATATCTTCTTCACGTACCGATATCTTTGCTGTTGGCATTACGTTACTATATATCACCTGAAATATCGAATTTTAACACATGTAATTTTAACTATTTGTAGTAAAAAGAAACCTAGAAAATGAATCTATAAACGCAGAAGAAGTCAAAGTAACTCAACAGATGATAATGTTTGAAACATTTATACAATAGTTACAAAAATAGTAAAACAGAGGAGTGTCTTAGCATCACTCCTTTCCTGTTAGTTAATTTTAAACACTAATACAAATAATCTTAAAATAAGTAAAATTAATGTTTCAATATATATGAAAATTAGATTTCTAAAAGATAAACTAAGAATTATTTTACAAAATTATGCTTGATGAATGTGAGATATAATCTTTAAACTTTATTTTTAATTTCCTATGAGATTTTCATACTTCTTTAAATTATGTTTATATATGATTATAAAATTAATTGTTTGGTTCATATCTTCATGTCTCAAATAGTATATGAACACTAATTTTTTAGTGTAAAAACTTTAGACTAATGATAGCGCATTGGACGAAGTTTTGTATTTAAAAAATTACTTTACATACGGTCTTGACTTTTAAAAAATACTGAATAGGAGAGAATACATTTTTTTTTAAGACGTATTTCAAATGAAACACGTAAGACGAAGACGAGATATAAAGCTTTTAATATTTATTATTAAAAGAACATCATTAAATAAGAATAATTATCAAAAATCTATCGATCTAGTGGTTTTTTAAAAGTTTTAGCTTCGATGCAAACCTGAGAAGGTATTAATTTTACTATGATGTGTTTTTTTTTTGTGACTATCATTACTTTTTCTCAGCTCTCACTGAACCGATTTTTCTCAACGATACGTCAAAAGATCACAAATCGTATCTAGTTAAGACATTACCCTCAAAAATTGAAAAATCTTCCATAGTTCCTTTTAAATGGTGGAAATCCCCCCAAAAATTACGGGTTTTATAATTGATATATTTCGATATTTTTTAAACTTCTTTTTCTAAAAATTGCCATAACATATTGAAATATGAACGAATTTAAATAATTCTTTTTTATATTGAAACCATAAATATTTCTCTTTCCTTTTATATACGTTTTTTGAAAATATGACCCTTTGTCTGTCCACAGGGGGGATTCAAAATAGCAACTTCTGCACAAAAATTTTAATTTTTCAACTTAATTTTTGAAAATATTCCAGAATTACTCCGAACTTCAAACATATGCTAAAATAAAGCTTATGTTGTGTACTATCAGTCTAAAAAAAAAATTTGTCCAGACGACTTATCTTCTATGTGTAAATGGTTCCCCCAAATAAAAACATGTAAAATTTTGGTGTTAATAAAATTTATGATTTCATATTAAATTTTTTCAACTTTAAATTACTTTAATTTTTTGAAAAATGTTTGGATCAAAATAATTTTTTTTTCATAGATGCTTGATGTCTTTAACTATCATTTGGTATATTTTTTTTGTAAATTTAACCCTTTACCTGCCCAAAGGGGGGATTTAAAATGATAACTTTTCACAAAAAATTAACTTTTGAAAGTGATCCGGAAAGTCAGACACTTTTATATATATATCTTAAATTAAAGCTAATGGAATGTACTTTATTTTGAAAAATAAAAATTTCAGACTTTATTTTGTCTTCGCGGTGAAAATGTCTACCAAATGCTATTTTTGTGTGAACATTTTCGATTGTATTTTTTACATTTTTAACTGTATAATGATATAACTTATTGAATAGTGTATGGATCAACACAATTGTTTTATGAGAAATAATATTTTTTAATAATCCCTTTTTCATTCAACATACTTTATCTAAATCAGGATATTAATAAGGAACTAGCTGATCATGTAGCTTTTGGAATAATCCACCAATTTTTTTAAATTAAACACTATCTAAAGATATGCTACGAAGCGTTTTTTTTTTTTATAGTGATTTTAATTACTGTCAGATATCATAATACTTGATCCAACTATGCTACGTCACCACTGTGCCGCGACCCTCTATGCTTTTTTTTTTTTTTTTATTTTAAAATACCTTATAAGGGTTTGCCATAGTAATGAGTCCGCCAATAAATATAAAATTTACATGAATCTAACTTACATTAAGTATAAATTTATACTTATTTTGCCTCTTCAAAGTTAAAAAAAGTTTTTTTTAAAAACTTGAAAATTTTTATTAAAAGTAAAACTTTTTCAACTTAATTTATGAAAATGTTACGGAAATACTGCGTCTTTGAATATATGTTAAAATAAAGCTAATTTCATGTAATAGAAGTAAAAAAAAATAAAATTGTAACGATAACCTCTATTCTATGTGCAATTGGCAGTCAAAGAAGAACAAAAAATAGGAATAACTTTTGCTTTTGGGATAATCTTTCAATTTCTTAAAATTAAACACTATCTACAGATTTGATCGAAACGTTTTTTATAATATTGATTATAATCATTGTCAGATATCATCTATACTGGACCCAACTATGCTATGTCCCCACTGTCCGCGACTGTCGGTTTGAAATACAGTCTGTCTCTCTAATTCAAATTTTTTATATCAAAAATATATATATATATATCTCAAAACATGTAAAAGACATGTTTTTGTAACAATTTCATTCAACCATTTACTACCTAAAAGTACTATACACTTTTTGTTCAACTCAATGTTTATAAAAATAAAAGTTACTTGTAAATGTTACAACAAGGGCAATAAATATTTTATATAGAATTATGTTTGTTGTTTAGTTTTATATTCAATTTACTTAGTTGTCATAATAGAAAAATATTGCTAAGTTAAGTAGAAGAAAATATTGCTAAAATAAAGTACAATCATAACTTATAATAAAACTAATA